TCACAGGGCTTTAAAGAAAAGGAAAAAAAAAAAAAACCCACCCACAAAACAAAAAAGCTTGTCACCGCATCTTTTCCCAAAGTGATAATGAAACACAGGTGCAGCTGCCTGGCAGCCCCAAACCGAAATGGCAGGGTTGGCACCCTCCTTGTCAATCTGGGGCCTATTTGCAGCACAGCTGATGCATCAGCCTGCTAATTACTGGGAGGCATGGAAGGCGCTGCAGGATGCTGCAAGTGCCGTTTGCCCCTCTCCTATGAGCCATGGGGCACCCAGTCACACCAGGGAGAAGGAGGTGGAGGAGAGATACAAGAACAAAAAAAATCCGTGAATAAGATTGTGCTACTTGAGTGGCTTCAGCCCAACAGCGCTGCCTTGACGGGCTCCCTCACCCACACCTTGACAGAGGTGTCTCAGGTGCCCTGGGCCTGACAGCGAGTGCCAGGGCTGCACGCTTGCTGGAAGGCTGAAGAAGAAGCAGCAAAAATTTATGAACCCTCAGACTGCAATGAACTTAATTCACCCATTAATATGGAGCCTTCCTTCAATAGCATGTAAGGCAGCACCTTGGAGGGAAGGCACCTTATGGGAAGAAAAACTTACTTTCCTGACCCCGCGAGATGCTCTGGCAACAGCCAGCCCTTGCCTTCAGTGTGGGCCTGAGGCAGTTAGAGCTCTGTCACCAGCGGCTGAAGGATGAGCTTTAGCCTGACTGCTCAAAGAGGCTTTACAGTCCTGCTGAAGAACAAAAAAGCAATCCCCATTGCTGCTTTTCTTCGGGGAAAGCATTCCCCCTTGCTGCTTTTCTTCGGGGGGGGGGGTCATCTTGAATGAGACATCACTCTCCTGCTGCGGGGCTGAAAGGAGCTGTGTGGGGCTGCACACCTGACCTGTCATCACTGCCTGCTGGTGAGAAGTAACCCCGTCCTTTCCAGTGGTGCGCCTGTAGCCTGTGTTTCACATCTGGCTTACTAAAGTGTTGTCAAGTACAAATCCCTCGGTTGCATTAGATCTGCCTTCTCTCCTCCTCTGCACACAAGAGGTCCCACTCTTAACTCTGCTCAGTAATGTAAAGAACTTTAAACATACAGCTCAGGGAAGAGCAATGAAGAGGGCTAGAGGTACAGCGACAGCCAATCTTACTTTAATAAAATGCATTTCAAAAGAAAGCTTGCACAAGTTTTATGAGCAATAGACGCCCCCGAGACTGTAGAAAGACCTACTTCTGCTCCAGCCATCCATCCTCCAACCCAACAACCTAACCTCGCAAAACATGCAATGTACACTCCCAATCAACTTCATATTGTTGATATCACCCTACCGAAAGTTACAGGGCTTCTCCCATCTTTCTCCCCACTTCTTTTTTTTTTAAACTAAGAGGGAAAAAAAATAAAAAAACCCTAAAAACTTCCAAAAGCAAGGCAACAAGAGGAAAGGCATGTAACAGTTTTTGCAAGTAATTCATATGGATGCCCACACAGGTGCTGTGTTTTCAAGAGAAGACCAAGCAAGTTTGCTAGCAGAGGAGTTGCATGTGTTTGTTGTAAGAGGTAGTGTCATCCATCAACACTAGCAAATAAACCAGCCAGACTTTAGGAAAACTTCACCAGAAGTTGAATTTCCATGTACAGCGTAAGAGTTCACTATAAAAGGCTTCTATTCAATGTGTCCAGGAAAGTGCCAGCTGTCATAGATACATTTCATAATATAAAAGGACTTAACAACATCTATCTACTAACATGAGGTCTGTTGTCATTTCTATTGACGGAAAAAGAAAGGTTGGATTTGCTGTTAAAAAATTATGTCATGTACACACAACCATATTTAGTGACATACGCGCCTTTAAACCTCAAGTGCACACTAATTTAGAAAATATGTACAGTTGTGGTGTGCAGATGGCCCCAGTAATCATATACAAAATGTACTTTTTTGTTAAGCGTCCACCAAGCCTACACTGCACACACAAAAGCTCTTTGCTTTGTCCCTCATTATGATGCACAGTAAGGGAAAGCCTTAGTTACAATTTCACCCAAGTCAGGTCTGCGGGAATGAGCTCCTCAAAAGCTAGCTCCGCTCCAGATGACTAACTCCACCAGCAGCTTTGAGAAACAGTAACCCTTAATGATTTTTTCTGTTAGAGACTCACATTCATAATAAAAGGGATGCTCTTCCCTGCCAGTTCTGCAAATCCAGCTTGCCGCCTAGGAACAAGCTCTCACAAGCCACCGGCATGCATTAACAGCAAAATAAAGCTTTGGCTCCCTGTGCAACACAGGTCTTCAGACGATTACTCCAAACCACCTCGGTGACCTCTGTGCCCTGGCTGGAGTGACAGAGGAACAGTCGGTGTATTGGCAGTGAGTAAGCATTCACCCGGTACCCAAAGGACCATACTGGACTCCTAACCCTCAGCTATGCTGTTTCTGCAGGTCCTTCAGCAGTAGAAGGCGATGGCATCTTCTTTTTGTCACTTGTTAGTGACATGGCTCTGAATATGCACGAAGGGAGAAGGTCCCATTAGTCTGTGGTCATGTCTCAGAGCAGCTTCACATTTTTGCTAGACATAGATGGGTGCGAGAGCCCTCACAGGGAAAGGGGCTCTGTGTTTATTTGAAGGTGTTGACTTGTGGTCACTCAGAGTCAGCCACGAGCACGAGACGGTGAATTGGGAATCCTGGGGCCGCTCACAGGAAAACACGTGAAGAGCTAAGAGTCATTGAAAGCCAAACCATCTGCGCATCTGGTCAAGGAACTGCTATTAAGCACTAGTCCCAAAAAGTTATTTATTTGCCTCATCTAGAGAGGAGAGCAGTTTTACAGATCTGTCACCTGGAGATGACAGCTCTACTTGGTACTCTTCGTGGCAGCAGTAAGACCATAATGAAAGCTACTATTTCTCACGGACAAAACTCCCATCAATGTGAAAGGGAGCAAACCTGGAAGTGTGCTCCCATTCCTTCTTACTCTAATTATTTTACAATTCAGGGAAGAAAACTTACCTATGTATTTCAGTGTTTCTAACCGTTCTGTCAAGAGGCACAAGCACAAGCAGCTCTGAGGTTAGAACACCTCCCTCTTACTACCTGACATTTAGGTCATCGGCTGTTTCATACAATCTCACCCTTGGCAAAACAAGGGGAGTCAGGATGCCAATCACACAGGCAGAATCCAGGTGCTGGCCAAGAAACACTCAAGTCCCTGTCCTTTGCTTTTAGATGCATCATTTAAAGTAATGAATCCCTCTTTTCTAGGGCACTTGGCAAAGCCGCTGCCATGGCTCAGCCATCGCCGGTGCTCCAGTCACTCACAGGCTTCTATCACAGCACCTCTCTGTTGTGCAGCAGAACCAAGTTTTACAAGAAAAACGTAAATGGAAAAGATGGTGGCCACCATTTCTGGTAAAAGCATTGCCCTGCCTCTTCTACCCAAAGAGGTAGTCATTTCTCTGTCATCTCCCTTAGATGCGGGCATTTCTGCTATGGGGTTTTTATGAGAGTGCACATCACTCTGGGGTTGCATAAAGAACTGCTATCAGTAGGCTGCCACAACGCAATTAAACCCATGATTGAAACGAACAATAAATAAAGAGAAAGACATAGAGGTTTTAAATACAGGTTTCCATTAAAAGCATTACAAAGACGACTTCTCTCATTTTGAAGACAAAGAAAAAATCCACTTCTACTAAAAAAAAAAAAAAAAGGAAAAAAATTTAAAAATCACCCCTTTGCAAGTAACTTTAATGAGGAAAGGTGCAGGGAAGGGAGGGAGAGAGGACTTGGAGTACTAGCAAGTGTTCAAAAGGGTGGACGCCCTTCATCTTGGTCATTTTGCAATGGCACCTTCTTCTCACACAGTCAGGTCAGAGAGCCAGAGTCCTCACGTGGAGGATTTCACCACCTGCTCGTAAGGGGGAGGTGGCGTGTTGCAGTAGGAAGGTGGGGGTGGGTAAACCGGGTTTCCTTGTGGGGAATTGGGCTGGACGTGGAAAGCCATAGCCATGGGATTCATCACAGGTCCACCTGGATCTGTGTAATACGGCACTCCAGGTTGTTGTGACCCTGAAAGAAAGAAAAGGAGAGAAAAGGTATCAACAATGGCAGAAGCATCAGGCAGCGGTTGTGCTCTTCCAGGGCTTCTCCTCTGTACACTTGGACAAGTTTTCTCAAAGTGTTCATCAGAGCAAGGACAAGGAGCCACTTTTCTCCCATTCCAGAGAAAACCCAGACTTGCAGGACGACATTCACTTCTTGAGATTTCACCAAGAGGTTTCAATTTCACATGCAATGGAAATCATTTAGTAAAACAAAGGGCACCACTGCCCCAAGCGACTACGATTTGAAAGGGAAAACAGTGAACCCTGCTCAGTTCCCCAGACAGAAAAGCTGCCGTGCCTGCAGAAAGGAGAGGCGTGGGTTCTCAGATGGACAAAGGGGTTTCCACTGCAGCCCTCACTCAGGTGTCAAGTCTTACGAGAGGACTTCACAGGTTATTTTGTAGTGTACTGGATCTGTTTGTATGCCAGAGTGCATCTCAAATAGATAATTTCCCTTCAAGGCACAATACAGCTAAGGAGTAAACATGTACAAAGCAAAAACCCAAGTTGAAGCCAAGTATGGCTGGCTAACACAATGGGACAAGATTGCTTTCCACAGATTAAATTTAGGAAGTGATGTTGGAGCCTGCAGGGAGAAGGAAAGGAAACGTACGATCAAACGCAAAATTCCTTAGCTGTGACACATGGGGTGTAACAGAGACTGCTGCCATGAGGAATAGCAAAGGTGGCGCGTAACCCTCCTCAGATACCACAGTGAGTGGTGGAAGAAGACAATGCAATTCCAGCAATTAAAGTCACAGATTGTCTCTATCTATCTCAAAATGTATTTTAGTTTTCTTCTCTTTCTCTCTGTCTATGTAAATAATATAAAAGTCACCAGATTGTCTCTATCTATCTCAAAATGTATATTAGTTTTCTTCTCTTTCTCTCTATGTAAATAAAGCTGGACGGGAAAAAAAAAAAAATCACAGCTGAGCAACAGGTTTTCTTCTTTTGGTGCTAGTCTGTTTTCCCTATAATGACACAGCCTCTAATGGATTTTCCACTCAATCATTTCTTTCCGTGACTTAGTGTCACTAGGACTCAGTATTGCCACAAAAGGAATACAGGCTTCTTGAAGCTTTAAGCACCCTTTAGTACTTCAAGCATTCAGGAAGGAGCTAAATACCAAACCCAAAAATGTGTCCTTACAATATTAAATCAGATGGGTCGAGCCACAAGGCATGGGGATGCAAACTGTCCCAGAGCCTGGGGTGTCTGCCTAGGGAGCTTTGTTTGGACACTTGGGAGGCAAAAAGGATGGAAAGCAGATTGGGAACGCAGCTATTTCCTTCTTAACACAATAATTTTTAACACACCACCACAATAATTCTTCCTGCCTGAGCAAAGAGGGCTGCTCCGCAGTCTCTCTTCCTTTGCCGCGGCGACAAGAAGCCCTTGTTCTGCTTCCATGTATAGCATCAGCACGTGGCTGCGGGAGAGCCAGGCTGGGAACAGGAGCCGAGTCCTACCTCTCCAAAGTTTGGGCTAATACCCTCTTTCTGTAGCCTTTTTCTTAAGCATTTTTGTTTTAAAGTTAAATCCTGCCCAGCTCTGCATTTCTGCAGTTTCCATCTGCAGGGGGAAATGGGAGAGGTTGAGGTAGCTCACTGCATCTTGCTCCTTAGGAAAACAACTGTTTTCATTAAAACTTCCGTGTATTATTATTGAACTGGGTGGGGGGCAAGTGTGGACACCAATCTTCTGAGATATTTCTTCAGTTCATTAAACCCACCAGAAAACAACATCTGAGTATCAACTTCCTTGTGGGATCAGCTCAGTAAGTATTTAAGTGCCTACAAAGGGACCAGACCTTTTCTAGCACCTGAACTGCCAGTTTGGGGCTATGTAGGCCAGACCTAAAGGGAAAGACACCACCAGGTCTGCAAACTGCTGTTTGTAGGTGAGGTGTTCAATCCATTTTCCTAGTCAGGCCCACAGAAAAAGCACTCCCACCTCCAGGCTGCTGCTGGGATGGCAGAAGATGCTGCCGTTACCACCACAGGGGAGGAGGGAGATGGGCAAGGAGCCCCGTTTCAGGGGCTCCACCTCAACCAAATCTGGAAGAGGAGCTAGAGGAAAATGTGAACTTGGTTGACTAGTAATTCCCATTGCTTTTGCTGTTGAATATTCCTAGAATAGTAGAAAAAGTAGAAAAAAAAAATTTTGGTGGGGTTAGCTCAGAGCCCAAAGCTTTAAGAAACAGTAATAATAGTCTGGAAGCAGGTGGCATAAGCAGGTCACCGAAGGGCTTGTGCTTATTTTATATTTGCCCACAATTTGCGTTCCATGAAAAAAACTAAAACCATGCTCTAAAATTAAATCCGGTATTCACCAATCCAGCCAAAGATGCTCCCTGTTCACATAATCTTGAGATTATTTTTCAGGCTTAAAAACACGGTTTATTTAGTTTGGCTCCCTCCCCACCGTTGAAAAACAAATACTCTCTGTGGAAATGCTTGTTCAGTCAAGCAGAAAAAAAGATGCAGAATGGAAGCCCTAAGAAAACCCCTTAGGATTTAAAAAAAAAAAAAAAAGGGGTGAATAAAATGTTAGTTTGTGCCTGTAACATCTTTTTATCCATTTAGACCTATGAGAGAGAGAGGGGAGAAATGCACGTCTATGGGTACGTGCTTAAGGATGCAAGAAAAAGCATTTCCAAAGTCTGCACGAGGCGCGCAGGTGTGCAATAGCAGGCATGACAGGGGAGAGAGCCTGAATGCTGCATCTCTGCACAACGCTCGTAGTCACAGCTAGCTAGATGGGGGTTTAGGACACTTTTCTAAGGAGGCTGTCTTGATGCAGCCACAGCATCGCACAGAGACATAATGGTTCAGAAGATTTTTGATAGAGAGGTTTGAGGCACCAAATTTTCAGAGAGGTCCCCCTTCTCATTACAAAACATTCAGCTGTATTTCCACTTCCAAGGCAGTATGAAACAAGAACAAATTGCCAATTCAAAAAAAAAGTTGTCAGAAGAGGTAATTATCCTCTGGCTTTAGCTCTCTCTAATACAACATGCAATAAAATGACAGCCCGGGAGGAAAAGTGTCCGTGTACCAAGTGTGCCTGCGTATGTGTGTGTGTGTGCTTCCGCTGGCACAAATCAGCACTGGCTTATGCAATCTGGAGAGTGGTTAAAAACGTCTCAGTTTGGCCTTGCTGAGGCAGGGAGGAGGCAAGCACCTGAGCGTGCACTCAGATATAATCTCAGCACTGCAGGAGGTCTTCCAACTAGGGACAGCTGGATTCAAAATGCTCACATAGGCACAAACATCTTCTGCTTACAGGTGAGTCTTATTTTGCAGGATTCGCCTAACTGGGACTATCTAACAGCCAGAGGGGAAGAAATAACAAACTTAGAAAGCAGTATTGCCAGAGGAGCCATCACTAGGTAGATCCTCCGGATGCTCACAGCCATTAGTGACCAGAGAGAGAGCAATCAGTCTAACAAGGGGAGAAGGACCACTTTGCTGCAGAAAAACTGTAGCACAGAGCATAGAAGGCAAATCAAAAAGGGAAGACTTGCAAGATAGGCAGACCGTGGAAGAAAAACATTAGGCTTTTCTTCACCTCTGCCAGATGTTATCAATTATATTTAAAACTCTCTCTTCATGTCACTGTTCATTTTGGATACCTATCATTTTGTCTTACGCTGCAAAGTGAGAACTTCCATGCATGGACACACAGATGTAAAACTATTAGGGAATATTTTATATTACTAAATTTTATATTACTAATATTACTATATACAAAATATAGTAATATATTACTACAACAGAAGGGAACTGAAAGTCCTGTCATCCTGGGTTTCAAAAACGCTTCTGTACACTGCAGCTGAATTATGCTGTTTGAAAGGCAGACGACTTCACTCATCACAGGAGGTGGCTGTGCAGTGCAGTGCACTCCCTTGTCCAAATCCCACAGTTTCCAAAAACCGAACAAAACCCCCAAACCCACCCTTTTTAAATGCCTTGACAAATGTAAGAAATTAGTGAAATTTGTTTAATGAGCAGTCTCTGACCTGATGCAGTGTTGACTGGTTGTCTGGTGTAAGACACGTTAAAAGTAGGTTCTTCTACTAGTGGAGGAGGGTACATTCGCCTTCGGATAAAGAAACCAGCTCCGCAACAGAACAAAACTCCCATCATCAAAAGGAACCTAGGCAAAGAGAAGAGGGAAGTCAAAACCCACCTGCGTTCAGGCAGCTCTCAGACTCAGACTGTTCGCTGAGAGAAACAAGAGTATCACCTACCAATCATCAGCCTACGACTTTTATCGGGGTTTCTTAAATATGTTGTCTCTTGAGAGCAGGTCTATGTCATTTCAGGTAGCACTCATGGGGCACTTATGGATGTATTACGGACATCTTTAGTGATTAGTACTATTGTCTGATGTTTTCTGGCATGTAAAATACAAATCTGAAACTAAAACGCCCTTGAACTTTTGGAACGTTCAGGTTCATACCTGACCTTTGCCACTGGGACGCTGAACTGAAATTCCGGGTTGGTACAGTTTCAAACTGCCTATCTTGGACACAAGCCTCATGCTTACAGCATCGAGGCTGGCCAGGTTTGTGGGGGACAAAGAGGAATACTATCCTGCAGTTGCCCTTAAAAGAAGATTCTTAGATGTTCTTGGATTACTCAACACTGTAATTTCGTCTCCCATGGGAAATATGGTAGCTGGCATTTAAGCTCAAGCCAGAAGACTGAAGCGTTCAGCACTGAAGATGACAAGGTTTGCTTTGTGCTTCCTAGACAGGATATACATGCTCAAGGAAAAGAACATCATTTTGCTTCAGTTCTCCTCTCAGCTCCTTTTCCCGACCTGACTAAACTGTCCTCATCATTCCCTTGCCCTGGTGCTGTAGAAACAGGCACATGCAGCAAGGGCATGTCAGATTTTGTTTTTCAGACAGTGGCTTTCACTGTGTTTCCTTGATTAGTTATCAGACATGCTAGTGACTGATGCAAGCTCCCGTAAACCCAAATGGTTCTTCTGCCTGTAATTGCCATCTCATTTCAGGGGCCTTTACTGGAAGACAATGACAACTCTGTTCTTTTGGAAGGGATGGAAGTTGGCCAGAGGCCACTGAAGCTGGCCAGAGGCAAGCCTACACACCATGCTTATCTCCTCTGGAGCATTCCCAGGTGCCCGAGAGGAAGAGTGTGACACTGGATGGCAGCGAGAGGTATTTCATGCAAAGGGTCAAATTCTGTTCTTGTTTCTACGGTAGAAACGAGAGCAGAAAGAGGTCCTGTTTCCCTGAGCCAAGATTAATACATTCCCTTTTGGCAGCGTTCCTGCAAGGGATTTGTTCTGAACAGAAAAACAGAGATTTACAACGTCACCCCAGGGATTGAGATGCAGAGCTCCTCAGTTATATCAGTAAGGATTGCACACTGAAATCCCACAGTCAGCTTCGGGAAATCTCGGTATTATAGTACATATCAGGCTTCTGGTTTTCAGTGTTTATTTGTTTCAATTTTGAAGGCTTTTTTTTTAAGCAGTCTTCAAATTCTACATAAAAATGCCTGAAATCAGGTTTTCTAGAAGAGCTTTTGCGTTCTCTCTACTGTAATGAGAAGGTTTTATTCAGGTGCTTTCTTAAATTCCTCTCCAAACCGAATTTACCTTGTTTTTTCATTATGCATATAACAGTGATTAGTTTAAGCTTTATCCAGATTACTGAGCTGCGGGTTTCACAAGCTCAAATCTTTCTGCCTTCTTTTCCCTTGCTGTCATCTCCAGTGAAATCCTCATAGTCATAAATGTACTTCTCTTCCTTTTTAATTGAAGCCTCAGTTCGGCTGGCAAGAATGTCTTAAACCCTGCCTAAATGCACAATCCTCCTTATACAATCCTCTTTTAAAACTGAGTGCCCAACAAAAACGGACAAACGCTGCTGCTTGGTAGTAGCTGGGACAGGCATAAGGAATTCAGCAATTTTGGATGAAAGTGGGACCGCTGCCTGGTCCCACCCAGGAGGATGCAGAAGCAGGAAAGGTCAACCTGGCACAAGTAACCTGCTTTTCCAGTGTTTTCTCACTACATCGGGAGAATTTTATAAGCAAAAAAACAAAGTCCTTGCACTTATATGTACACATATACACTACTGCATACTTGTACCTACTTTACTTTAAAATACTAGGGCTGGCAATACCCTGATTTACAAACAAGTCCTACAAACAAGACAAGAACAGGACAAACATAAAATTCCCAAATGCCCTGACCTACCAAAAATACCATAGTCGCTGGATAGAGAGAGCTCTTACACAGCATCTTGAACCACAGCAATCCTCATAGGAGCGACATCTGCAGAGAAATAAAGAGAAAAGGGCATTAGGGGAGTGGTTGTCACTCAGATTAAAATGGCATCCCCAACTCTGCCGCTGTTCGCACCCCTGCTTGAGGCATTATTTACGACATCGCCATGAGCCTGGGAGGCAAAGCCTCCTGGAAGTGTCCAAGGTCAGGCTGGACGGGGCTTTGAGCAACCTGATCTAGTGAAAGATGTCCCCGCCCATGGCAGCGAGGTTGGACTAGATGATCTTTGAAGGACCTTTCCAACCCAAACCATTCTGTGGGTCTATAAATAAGAACAGACTACCCTTGGCTGGATAAAGTTGTCAATCACACGTACACATCCATGGCGCAGCTCTATCACTATTCAGGAACTTGTTGCATGTTATTGAAACTACCTTCCTATATACTTCTTTTAAAGCCACCTCAAAAAGACTGAACGTAGTGTTTAAGTCCATATAAAAGGACACGTTATAAAGAAAAGCAGTATTACTGTATTTTCTTTCACAGTAAATGAACACTGCAGACCTCAAACATGAGCCATTTGGGGTTTTATTCACTGCACCAAACAAGAACTGCAAGGTCAAAACTGCCAGATCACTCATTCTTTGCAAATCGGCAGCTTCCAAACAGAGAAACCACCGAGGGCGTACCGTTATTTGCAAATTGAATGGCATTTTTTTGATTCTCAGAAGTTGCACTGGACTGCAACTGCCAACAACTCCCATTATTTAAGTAGGCTTTCCTCTAACCGCCCCCATTTAAAATTAGTATTTCATATGGAATAGAACTGTTTTAAAGGTATTATAGCAACAACCACTGTAAGCACAAGGTACCACTTCACTAAAAGCTAGCACATACATTAACAGCTAGCTCTAAACAATTTCTATGGTAACTGCCATTTTCCACACCAATGAAACATATTTAGTAGGAAAAAGGACAGAGGTAACACAGAAACTATGGTATGTGACAGACTTGGATGAAAACATTCAGATTAGCATATCCACATGCCAAAAGAAAAGAGAAGGTTACCACAACTGGATCAATCTTTTTAAGGGTGTTCACACCTGTATGCTCAATGCACAGATTTAATTAAGCATCTGGTTTTGAAAATTTGCCCAACTGCATGACTGTGCTCCCATATTTGTAGGTAAAGCTAAAAGAAAAATCAATTGGGTAATTGTACAGACAATTACACACTTACATGCTCAATTAACAAACCTTCACTCACAAAATATGTCAAGTCACATAGGCTTCAGCCTCTAATTGGGGCCAGAGGAGGATGCTCTATGGATACATAATCAGTTGTTTTGCAAGTGAAAACAGTTACACGCTCTTCTGATGACAAGTAGGCAGGATTTATTTAAGCAAGCTGGAGGACCTGACATGATCAGCACGGCAAGGTCCATTAATATACTCAGGCACCTGGTCTGAGACTCAAGCAGAGTTAAGTTGCTCATGCCAAAAGACAAAACACCCATTTTGCCATCCCTGAACCTGAAAGCATCCCAATCTCCAACCTTTCTTCTTTAAAGCTTACCAGGACCCTAACAACTGCTCCTACTCAAAGCTACCAGATCTCACAAAACTACTGACAAAACTTAGGAAGTCAGCATTAACTTCAGCCCCATTGGGACCAAGAAATTAAGCATCCCTCCATGCTCCCCAAGTGGATCAACCCAACAGGAGCTTTCAAGACATACATTAAATGCATGGACAGGATCAGACCCCTTACAAAATGGGGTGGCAGCCGCTGCCTTGTGTTAAAACAGTGGCCATGGTACCCCTTTTGCTCTTTAACACACTCGTGGTTGGAGCGCCTCATCCGTGTTGATGGGCACTTGCTCCTTTCGCTGATGCTGCACAGCAAGGACTTTTTAAGGCTTGTCAGGCCAGAAAAGCAGAGCCAGGGCCAGGAAAGAGCCCGTAAATCTAGAAGGAAGGAGGTGGCAAATGAATGTCAATCCCTTCCTTTGCGGGCAACCTGTGCTAGCAAATAAAAAAGCTTCCCACCCATTCCTGCTGCTCCATGTTTTAGAAGAAAGAGCCACACTCACGAGTTCCCAACATCACTGGGGGACTGCCCTCTTGTAGCCTTTCTTGAGGCAAGTAAGGCCAAATTGTAGAAGGATTTTAGAGACGTGAGCAGTCTTTATCTCTGCCTCTACATGCTGGCTCTGTCAGCCCAGACACCTACACCTGACCACAAGCAGGACGGGGAACGAATGCGCCAGGCAGGCCTCTGGCCCCAAAGCCATTTTCCAGATCAAGCCCCAAGAGCTGAACTTGTATTAAAAGTTAAACTAAAACAGAGAGCCCAGGGAGGCTGCCCGTACGCCTCCCTCACGCCCACATTTGCCTCACTTCTTTTGCATCTGTTTTCTCCAGAGCCAGAAGAGATGGGAAAAGGCTATTTTAAAATATATAATTATGGTCATTCAAACCACCAAAATTAAAACAGCATCTGTAAGGTGAGCACAGTACCTGAATTTACTTTTTATTTTTAATCTCCAAATTGTCTAGCCTGCAAGTCAGCACCATTTTTTAAGCCTCAGTGGCTTAGCTTTTCTTCCTGCAAAAGAGGACTAAAGTACCCACTGGAAGACAGTAAGGCTCAACTGCTGAATGTTTATGAAGCTCCTGAGACCACTGAATGGCAAACAAACAGGCCACCAAAGAGAAGTTTCGTCTCCTACACAGATGATTGCACTTTCAAACAGCTGAAAATGATGATGCAAAGGCTGGAGGAGTCTCTCACTACGGCTGTGTTTAGAGAAGCTCCATTCTACAACAGCCAGTAAGCTTTCCAAGGCAACTCATCCAAGGCTAAGCACTGCATTTGCTGGGTGGATCTGTGAAGCTAAATCAGTATCATGGATTGGAGGGAAATCCCTTTGAGATCTGACGCTAGTAACCCTTTCACTTTTTACCCATAAAACCAAATGGGTGCTTGATTTTGCCTGTCTGCAAGTATGGACACAAGTACCCGTATGTAGGAGTCTGGAATCAAGGATGATACCATGATAACAACCTGCTGTTTGTATTCCCCAGCAGCGCCAAAGACGACTGGAAGAACAAACAGCCCATTTGCTGATACTGCCATCGGGGTACCGCAGAAGCTCTGCTGATCTCTTGTTCTTGATTCAATGTGCTACGAAAAAACAACACAACTTCTGCCAACATCAATCCCAATTACAAGAAAATTAACTTACTTACAAAAGCCGTATTTATTAGCAGGCAAAAGGCAACAATAAAATCAGCTTATTAATGGAGTAACATAAAAGCTTAAGTATAATCAGTCTTTGATGTACTATCTCTTATTGCCTGACAGCAAATCCCAGCAGAATTAAGACCCTGGTTCAGAAAAAACAATTAAGCACACACATCTATGTATTGAATTGATATGCATATCCTTTAAATTACACTTCTGCTTTGGCTCTGCTTAACAGCGAAGGACTGGTTGTGCCCAATGCCAGTTGAAGAAGAACGAGCCTTACTATTGATCTGAACTGGACTGAGCCCATCTCCTACAGAAGACATTTCTAAAACCGATTTCCCTCTTTCACACATCAATGATGATCCCGAGAACTGTATTTCCCTAGGGCAATGCTTGTTTCATAGATCAAAATTTAACCTATTGTGTAGGATAAGACATGATTCATTAGTTACTTTGCTAATCTGCAACTTCACCAAGCATACGGTCTCTCTTTTGAAAACTGTCTGCAATGTGATTTATGATTTAGAAAGTACATCTTTTCATTCATAATTCAGTAGAGTGAAATGAATGCATCTGCATGTCCAAAGACTTGTACTGCTAGCACACCAAGGAACTGCTGTGTCAGAGATCGGTTACACCGCATGTCAGATCACAGCGACAAGCTTTTTGTCTGGGTTCGCACTTAAATCATGATGCTGAACTTCTTTCCTTAATGGAAAAGCAAAGCACATAGTTTCACATAAGGGTATACGGTATGACCCAAACCCCACAAACAAACCCCATACTTGCATGTGTTCTGTGGATAATAACTGCTCAATGAAATGGTCCAGAAGCTCTTTTCCATTTATACCTGCATCTACACAGCTGAACAAGTCTCTTCTTAGCAGAGCTGCCGCAGGAAAGAACTGCATCTAAAAATAATTCCCTGATTGGCACTTGCTGAAAACTGGAGAAATTAAAGAGGTAAAGCAAGGATTACAGTCTTCAGCAGACTGTATAGCCACAGTGGTCTGACAGCATTCCCTGTCCTCACCCAGCATGGGTATTCCCCATCAACACCATCCCTTTGAAATGCACGCTGTAGTGTTCTTAGGTTTCCTCTCTAGACTGTTTGCATCGTATGTGCCAAAACCTGATTTAACATGGAAGATGTTTGATTAGCAATGTCTTTTGGAAGAGTAAAACAAAACATAAAAAGTTAATCCACATGTAGTGGCAGAAACCCTACTGCAGACAGAGGGACAGAGGATGGGAGGGTGAAAGAAAACCACAAAACCCCCACAACAACCAGATACAGTAAACTGCATGATTTCTAACCAGTGTCCTGTAGACAAGCATGACTTTAATTCCAAAAAAGGCTGCATGCCAGTGAGAGGTTAAATGATTACTGCATGCATGTAAAGTCTATGAAGCAAACTGGGATTCAATGGAATACAAGAAGCACTGGCAGTTTTTTAAGTCGGGGGGGACCAAAAGGGAGCCAGGAAGTTCAGTAAAGGAGGGTGTAGCGACAGACCAAAACTAAGAACAGAAGAGAAAGATTTTGGGGGGTTGGCTAGTAGCATCAGATGAAGCTAAGGAAGTCCCAGCTATGGTCCTAATACTGGCACAGGCAAAAGACCAGGAGAACCACAAGTGCTCACAAGAACTGGAAGGGATGGACCACTGAAGACTGGGTCACCTCCAGGCAGACTCAATGCTGAACCCTCAAAGCCAGAAGGCTCAGGTCTGCTACCATTGAACAGATGAAGGCAGACGGCTGAAGTGTGCATATGTATTTACTTGTTCTAGGATA